CACCTCCAACCTACAAGCACCCCCTCCAGCACTACAAGCACCAACACTACAAGCACCACCTCCAACACTACAAGCCCACCTCCAACACTAAGCACCACTCCAACACTAACCCCACCTCCAACACTACTAGCCCACCTCCAATAAAAGCACAACCCCAACACTACAAGACTACTAAAACACTACAAGACCAACACTACAAGCACCCCCCCAATACTACAACCCCAAACCTCCAACACAACACCACCTCCAACACAAGTCCCACCTCCAACAATACAAGCCCCACCTCCAACACTACAAGCACCACCTCCAACACTACAAGCCACCTCCAACACTACAAGCACCACCTCCAACATTACATCACGTCCAACACTAAAAGCACCAACACTACAAGCACCACCACTACAAGCACCATCAACACTACAACACCACCCCCAACACTACAAGCACCAACACTACAAGCACCAACACTACAGGCACCACCTCCAATATTACAGCACCACCAACACTACAAGCACCACCAACACTACAAGCACCAAACACTACAAGCACCAACACTAAAAAGCCCACCACCAATGCTACAAGCCCCACCGCCAACACTACAAGCACCACCACACTACAAGCACCACCACTACAAGCACCACCTCCAACACTACAAGCACCTCCAACACTAAAGCCCCACCTACAAACACTAAAAGCACCATCACTCAAGCACCACCACCAACACTACAAGCACCATCACTACAAGAAACACCAACACTACAAGCACCACCAACACTACAAGCACCATCAACACTACAGCATTTCCTCCAACACTACAAGCACCCCCTCCAACACTACAACACCAACACTACAGGCACCACCTCCAATACTACAAGCACCACCTCCAACACTACAAGCACCACCAACACTACAAGCACCACCCTCCAACAATACACGCCCCTCCAACACTACAAGCACCACCAATACAAGCACCACACCAACACTACAAGCACCACCTACACTACAAGCACCACCACTGCAAGCACCACCTCCAACACTACAAGCACCACCTATAACACACAAGCACCACCTACAACACTACAAGACAATCACTAAAAGCACATCACCAACACTACAAGCACCCTCCAACAAAGCACCAACACTAAAAGCACCTCCAACACTAAAAGCACCACCCCCAAAACACTACAAGCACCACCTCCAACACTACAAGCACCACCCCCAACACTACAAGAAACACACTCCAACACAAGCACAACCCCCAAAGGGACTGAAAGCACCAACACTACAAGCACCAACACTACAAGCACCACCTCCAACACCAAGCACAACCTCAAATACAAGCACAACCTCCAACACTACAAGCACAACCTCCAACACTACAAGCAAAACCCTTTCAACACTACAAGCACCACCTCCAACACAAGCACCACCTCCAACGCTCCCAAGCACCACCTACAAACTACAAGCACCACCACAAACTACAAGCACGACCTACGACGCTACAAGCACCACCCCAACACTACAAGCACAATTACAACACTACAAGCACCACCTCTAACACTACAAGCACCACCTCCAACACACAAGCACCACCTTCAACACTAAAAGGGACCACCTACAACATTTACAAGACCACCTACAACACTAAAAGCATCACCTACAACACTACAAGCACCACCTCCAACACTACAAGCACCAACACTACAAGCACCAACGCTACAAGCACCAACACTACAAGCCCCACCTACAACACTACAAGCACCACCTCCAACACTACAAGCACCCCTACACTACAAGCCCACCTACAACGCTACAAGCACCACCTCCAACACTACAAGCACAACCTACACTACAAGCACCCACCTACAACACTAAAAAGCACCACCTCCAACACTACAAGCACCACCTACAACACAAACAAGAAACCACCTCCAACACTATAAGCACACCTACAACACTACAAGCACCACCTCCAACATACAGCACCAACACTACAAAGCACACCTACAACACTACAAGCACCCCCTTTACAACACTACAAGCACCAACGCTACAAGCACCACCTACACTACAAGCACCACCTACAACACTACAAGCACCCCCAACACTACAAGCACCAACACAAACAAGCACCACCTCAACACTACAAGCACCACCTACAAAGCACCACCTACAACACTACAAGCACCACCTCAAACACTACAAGCCCCAAACCCTCCAACACTAAAAAGCACCACCAACACTACAAGCACCACTACAACACTACAAGCACCACCTCCAACACTACAACCCACCACCTACAACACTACAAGCACCAACACTACAAGCACCACATCCAACACTACAAGCACCAAGAACACTCCAAGCACCACCTACACACTACAAGCACCACCAACACTACAAGCACCACCTACACTACAACACCCCCTACAACACTACAAGCACCACCTATAACACTACAAGTACCACCTACAACATACAAGCAACCACCTACACTAAAAGCCCCCTACAACACTACACGCACCCACCCCCAAAACCCTACAAGCACCACACAAGCATCCCTACAACCATACAAGCACCAACACTACAAGCTCAACACTACAAGCATCAACACTACAAGCACCAACACTAAAAGCACTACCTAAAACACTACAAGCACCAACACTAAAAGCACCACCTCCAACACTACAAGCACCACCTACAACACTACAAGCACCACCTACAACACTACAAGCACCACCTACAACACTACAAGCACCAACACTACAAGCACCACCTCCAACACTACAAGCACCAACACTACAAGCACCAACACTAAAAGCACCACCTCCAACACTCAAGCACCACCAACACTACAAGCACAAACACTACAAGCACCACCTACAACACTACAAGCACCTACACCACAAGCACCACCTACAACACTACAAGCACCCCTACAACACTACAAGACCACCTACAACACTACAAGCCCCACCTACAACACTACAAGCACCCCCTACAACACTCAAGCACAACATTTACAAGAAATCCCCTACAACACTACAAGCACCCCTCCAACACTACAAGCACCACTACAACACTACAAGCACCACTACAACACTACAAGCACCTACAACACAACACCACCTAAAACACTACAAGCACCACCTACAAAAACACAAAGCACCAACACTACAACCCATCACCTACAACACTACAAGCACCAACACTACAAGCACCAACACTACAAGCACCACCTCCAACACTACAAGCACCACCTCCAACACTACAAGCACAAATACAAACAAGCACCAACACTACAAGCACCACCTACAACACTACAAGCACCACCTCCAACACTACAAGCCCCACCTCCAACACTACAAGCACCACCTACAACACTACAAGCCCACCTACAACACTAAAGCACCCTACAACACTACAAGCACCACCTACACTACAGCACCCAACACTACAAGCACCACCTCCAACACTACAAGCACCACCTACAACCTACAAGCACCACTACAACACTACAAGCCACCACCTAACAACACTACAAGCACCACCTACACTACAAGCCCCAAACCGACAACATACAAGCACCACCTACAAACACTACAAGCACCCACCTACAATACTACAAGCACCACCTACAATACTACCAAACACACCACCTACAACACTAAAGCACCACCTACAATACTACAAGCACCACCTCCCAAACCACTACAAGCACCAACACTTACAAGCACCACCTCCAAACTACAAGCACATACACTACAAGCACCAACACTCAAGTACACCTACAACACTACAAGCACCACTCAACACTACAAGCACCACCTCCAACACTACAAGCACCACCTCCAACACTACAAGCACCACCTACAACATACAAGCACCAACACTACAAGCACCACCTACAACACTACAAGCACAAAACACTACAAGCCAAACATTACAAGCCCCACCTACAACACTACAAGCACAAACACACAACACAAACACTACAAGCACAAACACTACAAGCACCACGTACAACACTAAAAGCACTACCTCCAACACTACAAGCCCCACGTACAACACTACAAGCACCACCTCAACACTACAAGCACCACCTAAAACACTACAAGCACCAACACTACAACACCACCTACAACACTACAAGCACAAACACTACAAGCACAAACATTACAAGCCCCACCTACAACACTACAAGCCCAAACCACTAAAAGCACAAACACTACAAGCACCAACACTACAAGCACCACCTACAACACTACAAGCACAAACACTACAAGCACAAACTTTTACAAGCACCACCCTACAACACTACAAGCACAAACACTACAAGCACCAACATTTACAAGCACCAACACTACAAGCACCAAGTACAACATTTACAAGCACCACCTCCAACACTACAAGCACCACCTCCAACACTACAAGAAACCACCTAAAACACTATAAGCACCACCTACAATACTACAAGCACCAACTACAACACTACAAGCACCACCCCCAAACACTACAAGCACCACCTCCAAACTACAAGCACCACCTAAACACTACAAGCACCACCTACACACTAAAAGCACCACTACAACACTACAAGCCACACCTCCAACACAAACAAGCACCACCTACAACACTACAAGCCCCACCTCCAACACACAAGCACCACCTACAACATTACAAGCACCCCCTTTCCAAAACACTACAAGCACCTCCAACATTAAGGGACGACCTTGGACAGGTGCTCCACAATCCTGGACAATTTCCGCTGCCACTTGCCTCCTGCCGGGACCTATCTCCCCCACGTTGCTGACTCTCCGGGGCATGGTTGACCCAGGGCGACCCCTACCCCAGGCACCTTTTGTGCCCCAACCCCAGAGGGCCAGGGTGGGCCCTTTAGCAGGCACTGAGTGCCACACTACATCAAGAATATGACAGTAGGCTGAGGGGACGTCAGAACCCCCACTTCCAGCCTCCTGGCTGCCATCGCTCCTTGTTACCTTCCCTTGCTTTCAAGTACACTGTGTTGGCTACAATGTTTTCTAATTTTCCCTTAGTTCCAGTTTGAAAGTTTAAAGACCACCTCGGGCCAATTTGACCCTCAGCATTCAAAAGAAAACTCGGACACTTGGGCGGGGTGAACCAGGGAATATGGCGAGCTCTCACGCCTGCCACCCTCTCTACCTCACTACCTAAACACTACAAAGAATAACTAAGTTTTTTTCATTTATTCTCCCTTCATGAATTTACTATTTTGCAAGGTCCGCAAAACTCATGTGTAACTTAACCAAGGATGATCCTGTAAAGTCTAACAATGTGACTTTTTTTCCCTTAGAGTTCTTATCAATATTTAAAAAACTATCTTCTAGCTAATAATATTATTTCCTGTTTTTTCATTTATTCTTTATTTGATAATTCATAATTAATATAAATCATATACCCGTAATAATCACGTCATTACACCAAGTACTGCAGAAATTACCAAAATCACTGCGTACAAAACAGATGCATATTTAAGCTTCATACAGCTAATGTTATCTTATCCAAATAATTAATAAATCCTCAAATAAACCAAAAATCGTCAGAAATCAATAAAATAATACAAATTAATCCTGAACACGTATTTACACATTTCTCTAATAATATTGTAATTTACGCGAATAGGTAAGTAAGCAAGTTACAATTCAATATATTACAGTTTATTTATATATAAAAATCGATGTTTTATTTATAATTACTTTAAAATATAATTTATTTTGGGTGGTGGTCTCACTGAAGGAGAATTTTATCAATTGAAGTTTAGGAGAGAGATGAATGTTATGGTTGGTAGTCCTGGCCAGGCAGAGTCAATACAACAGTGAGGCTGCCAGTGTATGGTATACACCGCGTGTATGTATACACCGCGTGTGTATGTAGACACCGGGTGTGTACGTATACACCGCGTGTGTATGTATACACCGCGTGTGTATGGTTTACCTGGAGAGGGTTTCAGGGGTCAACGCCCCCGCGGCCCGGTCTGAGACCAGGCCTCATGGATCGGGGTCTGATCAACCATACACACCGCGTGTGTATGGTATACACCGCGTATATGTAAGATATACACCGCGTATATGTAAGATATACACCGCATATATGTAAGATATACACCGCGTAAAATGTAAGTAACACCGCGTATATGTAAGATATACATCGCGTATATGTAAGATATACACCGCGTATATGTAAGATATACACCGCGTATATGTAAGATATACATCGCGTATATGTAAGATATACACCGCGTATATGTAAGATATACACCGCATATATGTAAGATATACACCGCGTATATGTAAGATATACACCGCGTATATGTAAGATATACACCGCATATAGTAAAAATTTACACGCGTATATGTAAGAAATACACGCGTATATGTAAGATATACACCGCGTATAGTAAGATATACACCGCGTATATTAAGATATACATGCGTATATGTAAGAATACATCGCGTAATGTAAAAATATACACCGCGTTTTATTTGTAAGATATACAAACCGCATATATGTAAGATATACACCGCGTATATGTAAGTTATACATCCCCGTAATTGTAAGAATTTCACGCGTATTGTAAATATACATCGCGTAATGTAAGTATACATCGCGTATATGTAAGTATACACGCGTATATGTAAGATATACACCGCGTATTGTAAGGATATACATCGCGTATATGTAAGATACATCGCGTATATGTAAGATATACACCGGTATATGTAAGATTTACACCGTATATGTAAGATATCACCGCGTATATGTAGATATACACCGCGTGTAAGATATACACCGCTGTAAGATAACAAGGTGTGTATGGTATACACCGCGTGTGTATGTATACACCACGTGTATGGTATACACAACTGTGTATGGTATACATTGAATATGTATACACGCCGATGTTATGATTACTCCTGGTTTGTATCACCGCATGTGTAAACCCCCTTCTTCAGATTCTCCTTTGTATGGACTGATGAAGCCACTGTGTGGCGAAACGTTCCTCAAAAAAGATACCCAAGAGTTGCACATGTGTCTAATTTTTCAACATGTCGGTTCTCTGAACCATTCATCTACAAACCTGTCAGACACTGCAACGTCTTGGGATCTTAATACTTGGGAATTCTTCGCTTGCCTAATTCTTGGGCACGACCTACTTCAACATTGAACAAATGTTACACGACCTATGACTGCTGCACCTCTCCTGCCAACGGTTCATAAGCTCCTTCTCCGCACGTATGCCGTATTCTATTCAAGATTGATGGACTGAACACATCGACTCAAGGTTGAGGGACTGATTACCTCATTCTCCTCCTGTTCTTCAAGATTCTCCTTTGTTATGGACTGATGAAGCCACTGTGTGGCGAAACGTTCCTCAATAAAGATAACCAAGAGTTTGCACATGTGTCTAATTTATCAACCCCCCCCTCTCTCTCTCTCTCTCTCTCTCTCTCTCTCTCTATTATATATATATATATATATATAAAATATATATATATATATATATATATATATATATATATATATATATATAAAAATATATATATATATATATATATATTTATGTCGTGACGAATAGGTAAAACATGCGATTTTGGCTTAAATAGCAACGCTCTTCTTACCGAATAAGGCAAGCGAAATTTGTGTATGCAATAATATATATATATATATATATTAAAATAATATATATATATAATATATATATTATATATATATATATATATATATATATATATATATATATATATATATATATATTTCATTGTGTTTGTTTATTATTAAATTATTGCAAATTTATCTAAAATATATTTAGTAATTGCACAACCTAGGGCAGCACGGGTTTAGAGCAAGTCGCTCCTTCCTCTCACGGCTACTTTGACACACTTGAGGAGAAACAAAATGCAGGTGTTGTATACACAGACTTTGCGTAAGCCTTCGACAAGAGTGACCATGGTGTAATAGTGCACAATATGCGTGATAAAGTAATAACAGGCAAAGTGGGTAGATGGATCTATAACTTCCTAAAGAGTTCTCGCTTCGATCCTTCTCCTCATACTCATATCTGACATAGACAGATATAAGCCACAGCACTGTGTCCTGCGTCACTGACGATACCAGAATTTGCATGACAGTGTCATCCATTGAAGACACTACAGATCTTCAAGCGGACATTAACCAAGTCTTTAAATGAAGACAAATTTCAATTACTCCGCCATGGAAAGATTGAGGAAATAAATATTGGGTAGAAGTATAAAAACAAATTCCAACCACACGATAGAGCGAAAAACTAATGTGAAAGACCTGGAAGTGAAAATGTCAGAGAATCTCACTTTCGAAGATCACAACAATGTCTCAACCACTTCTGTTAGGAAAATGATGCGATGGATAATGAGAATCTTCATAATTAGTGATGCCAAGTCAATGATGATTCTCTTCAAATTGGTTGTTCTCTCTAAGCTGGAATATTACTGCACACTAATGGCCCTTTCAAGGCAGGCAAAATTTCAGACCTGGAGAACATGCAGAGAGCTTTCACTGCGCGTATAAGTATAATAAAGATCTTCTGGGAACGGTTGAAGGCCCTTGACCTGTACACCTTGGAACGCAGGCAAAAAAGATGCAGTATAATATAAGCTTGGGAAATCCTAAAGGGATAAGACCCAAATCTGCACACGGAAATCGCTCCGTAATAATAATAATAATAATAATAATAATAATAATAATAATAATAATAATAATAATAATAATAATAATAATAATAATAATAATAATAATCTTTATTTCTACAAGTACATGTACAAGGTATACAGGCCTAGCTGACATCAATGACATACTAGTATATAGAAATACCTTGTTATACAGAGCATTTCGGTCAAATTAGGTCAGTTTTGTCCCTAGGATGTGATCCACATCAGTCGACTAACACCCAGGTACCTGCTTTACTGACAGGTGAACATTAACAGCAGATACCTTAAAGAAACACGTCCTAATGTTTCCACCCGTACCGGGGATAGACTCCCGGACCTCAGTGTGGCAGCTGAGTGCGCCAGCAATCCAGCTACGGGACACCTACGAAAGCAAAAGACTCGGCAGGCGGTGCAACATCCCCCTCATGAGAAGCAGGGAAGCCACGAGTACACCAAGACACAACACAACAAGTGTCAGGGGCCAAAGACTGCTCGACTGCCTCACAGCATACATAAAGGGGATTACCAATAGACTCCTGGTTGTCTTCAAGAGGGAGCCGGAAAGGTACCTAAAGTCAGTACCTGACCAGCCGGGCTGTGATTCGTACGTCGGTTTGCATGCGGCCAACAGTAACAGCCTGGTTGATCACGCCCTGATCCACCTCAAGGCCTGGTCATAAACTGGGTCGTGGGGGCGTTGACAACCGAAACACCCTCCAGGTATTGTCAAAGAAAAAAAACAATATTTGAATGACATATCTGGTCACCTTATTACAGAATCAAAGAAATAACTATAAATAATGAATTCAAGTTATATATATTAAACTTGAGGACTTTTAGAAAAATGTTGCTTTGACCAGTCTTATAAATGAATATTCAGTAGGCTTAATGACGTCATTGCAGTTCTCTTGATATTATAATTATTCTCTCGTAGCATCGTCGTTCTGTATTTTTTTCTAAACTGTTTGTTCTAATTAAAAAACAGGTGCAATATAGCCTATAATTGATGATATAGCATTAATGTATTCCATTGATAATACAAGCTTACCTGCCTACTTGGAGGGCATTACCTGGAGTTTACCTGGAGAGAGTACCGGGGGTCAACGCCCCCTCGGTCCGGTCTGTGACCAGGCCTCCTGGTGGATCATAGCATGATCAACCAAGCTGTTACTGCTGGCTGCACGCAATCCAGCGTACGAGCCACAGCCCTGCTGGTCAGGTACCGACTTTAGGTGCTTGTCCAGCGCCTGCTGGGAGGCAGTTGAACAGTCTCGGGCCCCTGACACTTATTGTATTGTCTCTTAACGTGCTAGTGACACCCATGCTTTTCGTTGTGAGTGATT